CCAGGGACGTCGTACGAGTCAGTGGACAGCTCCCCAAAGTCCTTGCAAAGGGTGTTGTTGGGGGTTTTGAAGGTGTACACCTCCTCGCTATCCGTTTCGGAACCCGTGAGGCTGGATTTGGTGTGCGTGTAGCACCCGAAACTCCTCGGAAGGTCGTAGGCACTGTCCCTGAGCTCCGAGTTGTGCCGGCTTGGCTTGGGCAAGCTGTAGAAGCCATGGACTTGCCCGCCCACCCCGTTGACACAGTGCCCGTTCCCCTGAGACAGCTTCTGGACAGATGGGTCGCTTCTCATGAAGAACGAGGATCTTGTGGCTTGAGAGAAACTAGCACTCCTAAAACGAAAAGTGGGAGAGAAGCCGTGAGGTAGAGATTCACATTGGGCACTGCCTATGGTGACAGCAGTCACGAAATTAAAAGACGCCTGCTTCTGGGGAGGAAAGCAATGACAAACCTAGACAGCATCTTAAAAAGCAGAGACATCACCTTGCCGACAAAGGTCCGTATAGTTAAAGCTATGGTTTTCCCAGAAGTGATGTATGGAAGTGAGAGCTGGACCATAAAGAAGGCTGATCGCCGAAGAATTGATGCTTTTGAATTATGGTGCTGGAGGAGACTCTTGAGAGTCCCATGGACTGCAAGAAGATCAAACCTATCCATTCTGAAGGAAATCAGCCCTGAGTGCTCACTGGAAGGACAGATCCTGAAGCTGAGCCTCCAATACTTTGGCCACCTCATGAGAAGAGAAGACTCCCTGGAAAAGACCCTGATGTTGGGAAAGATGAAGGGCACAAGGAGAAGGGGATGACAGAGGACGAGATGGTTGGACAGTGTTCTTGAAGCTACCAGCATGAGTTTGACCAAACTGCGGGAGGCAGTGGAAGACAGGAGTGCCTGGCGTGCTCTGGTCCGTGGGGTCACGAAGAGTCGGACACGACTAAACGACTAAACAACAACAAATATCTTCCTATAGAAATAGAAATGTAACGTGTCATCACGTTCTGCAGCATGCTGAACAGCAGGCCGGGTGAGCTGTTTAACAGAGGGAGGGAAGTCACCTTCCTCCCCGTTAAAGACGTCTGCAGTGAGGTGTAACATGGCAGGGGGGCTTCACATAGCAGTTTAGCAAGCTGCTTTGTGAAGCACCTCTCCAACTCCATTAACATTTGGCAAATGCGATCTAATTTAGGGATAGGTGGGGATTTGTCAGAGAAGTCTCAGTACCTCAACAAATTATAATTTTTACGATTCTTGGAGAAATGTTGTAACAGGCTGGTATAAAACTTAAATGGGTTTACAGTGTAGAGACGCTAACCTCTCAGACCCCAACTGTGGGATCGTAGCAGTAACTGGTCTGTGTGATGTGATCTTACGTACGGCTCTGAGCTTCACATAGTGGCCTGTAAAATGGTGAATAATTGTCTTGGGTCACACAAGTGTTGTGAAAGGAAATTTGCAGCCTTGGCAACAATGAAGATGAGTACTATGGGATACAATTACTCACAGTTCATTGCAACGACAATCCCAGAGCTGGTTACATAAGCTATTAAAATAGCAGAGAGACAATAAAATATTACAAATAAATGGAGCATGTGACTTGCAGCAAGCAGAAAATCGAAAGGGTAATTGCAAACAGGCACTATGCCCAGCAAACGCCTAAGTGTTTGGGTGGCACCTAAAACTCTTAGGAACTGGCGCCAGCTGCATCTCAGAAAGGATGAAGTTCTATAACTGAGGGGGCCACCACCAAGAAAGCCGTCCCTTGGGTTGCGGCACTGCAAATATCAAATAGCTCCACCTCCACCAGGAGGACCCCCCTCACAGATGTGAATGCACTAATGTGCACACACTCACACCAAATCTTAATAAACACACATAATTTTTAATTATTATTTTTTTAAGAGAAAGTGCAAGGGAAGCTCATTCAGTCAACCCAACAGCTGGGATTTAAATTTAAGAATTTAAAGGTAAAGGACCCCTAGGCAGTTAAGTCCAGTCAAAGGCAACTATGGGGCGCGGTGCTCATCTCGCCTTTCAGGCCGCTTCTGGCACAATGGGACACCGTGACGGAAGCCAGAGTGCACGGAAATGCCGTTTACGTTCCCGCCGCAGTGGTACCTATTTATCTACTTGCACTGGCATTCTTTTGAACTGCTAGGTTGGCAGGAGCTGGGACAGAGCAACGGGAGCTCGCCCCGTTGTGGGGATTCGAACCGCCGACCTTCTGATTGGCAAGCCCAAGAGGCTCAGTGGTTTAGACCACAGCGCCACCCGCGTCCCATTGCTGCACAATGGAACTTCCCCTTTCTCTCTGATCCCCTGAAAATTCCAAATGCTCTAGCAGGTCCTCCAACCCTCTGGAGAGGAGTTTTGAAGTGTGTCGGTGGTGGTGAAATTGGGGAAGCTCCACTGCTGAAGCAGACATCTATTCCTCTCATGCGGTGCCATTCCTGGATGCAACCCATGCTGTTGAAAGGTCCCAAATGGCTGGAATCAAAGGGTTTTTAATGACCTTCCATTAAGTTCCATCAGAAGTGAAGCATACTTTTAATTATTAATGAAAAACAGATGTAGGGGTGAAATTCTCTTGAACCCGGGAAAGCCCTGGGGTTCACCGAGAATCCAGCTGTGATTCAAGCATGTTGGGACCTTCTGATTCACACGGCTGGTACCTCTCCAGCTGTCGCCCACCGTCCTTTGGGCCATTTATGGGTCCCTTCCTCTCATCCTTCCCACATCACGTTCCCAGCACGTTCCAGTATGGTTTGATGGGAAGGAAAAGGCAATAAGCGTTCCTCCTCTAGGGAAACACGAAACCAGTATAATGATAACAAACCAACTGGGACCAAAAGAAACGGAAAGCCATAACACTGCTAGAATAAAGAAGGCTGATGTATGGAAGTGAGAGCTGGATCATAAAGAAGGCTGATCGCCGAAGAATTGATGCTTTTGAATTATGGTGCTGGAGGAGACTCTTGAGAGTCCCATGGACTGCAAGAAGATCAAACCGATCCATTCCGAAGGAAATCAGCCCTGGGAGCTCACTAGAAGGACAGATCCTGAAGCTGAGGGTCCAATACTCTACCTCATGAGAAGAGAAGACTCCCTGGAAAAGACCCTGATGTTGGGAAAGATTGAGGGCACAAGGAGAAGGGGACGACGGAGGACGAGATGGCTGGACAGTGTTCTCAAAGCTACCAGCATGAGTTTGACCAAACTGCGGGAGGCAGTGGAAGACAGGAGTGCCTGGCGTGCTCTGGTCCATGGGGTCACAAAGAGTCGGACACGACTAAACAACAACAGCAGATCGAAGCAGTTGAGTGGGAACATGTAGAGCCAGGAGATACATGTTCACACAAAAGTTTCAACCAAAAGATCATGGTATAAGGCAGCTTCTGTGCCGTACTGCTTCATCACCAGTAGGTGGAGCTATGTATAAAACGACTACAGGATTATTATTATTTTTTGCATGATGGGCCTCTTTTATTTCCAAAACACAGCTCTTTTTGCAGAACAATTGCAAAGTAAGATGTGTCTTGCGTTGAAAGACCAGCAGCTGCCTCTTGTCGTTTGAGCTTCAGACTACTCTCAGATCTCTTGCCACTAAGGCTAAATGGCTGTGCCCCAAGTTTTATAGAACAGTGGTTTTTGAAGAAGGGTTTATTTCCTGATTTTTTTTTTAATTTTTTATTAAGGTTTTAGACAATAAAAAAGAGAGAAAAAACATACACAATACATATAACAACAACACACACAAAAAGCAACACAAAATTCAACAATAAAAAAAAACATAACAGTTAAAAACAATATCTCTTTTCCATTTCCATTTTTAAATTACTTACTTTCTGGACTTCCTCATACCTCCCTCTTTTGTATTCCAATCCAAATTATTTGTCCAGCAGTTTCTTTTCCACTTTTTTAATCCCAAACTTTAATTTAATAAAATATTAAAATATATAGCTTCAACTTCTTTAAACCTAATCCTTGGTCTTAGTATCATATAACATTAAAATTTTCCCTCTTAATATCGAATTTCCATTTCTTTAAACATCTTTAATCTTAATCTTAATCTTAGTCTATCATTAACTTTAACCTGTACAGCTGGAAACCACTTATTTTCAATCCAACATCGCTCTAACATTCTTTAATTTTGCAGTGTTTCTGAAGATAGTCTTTGAATTTCTTCCAATCTTCCTCCATCGACTCTTCTCCCTGGTCACGGATTCTACCAGTCATTTCCTATTTCCTGATTTTTAACTGCATGGATGAGGCAACGAGGCACAATGCCTGGTGAGGAATACCGTAAGTGGAGCATACTGTTACTATTGCTGCTTGATTTTACTGGATTGTATCCAATGTTTGCCCTACTCTGAGTAGTACCATTGAAACTAATGGACCTAAGATAGTAACAGCTGTTCATTTCAAGTGTTGCCCTCCAAGTAGGAAGAACTCTGGCCACTACCCATTGTGCTTAATTGCCCCAAGCCATCCTGAGCATTGCAAATTCATTGGAAGGGCAGAGTGTGACGTTATTAAAAATAAACAATGGCTCTCAGGCGCTGAGCTTGCAGGCAATAAAGAATATGCAATGAGTGAATCTGTCAATTTTGGCTTCTCGTTTTTCCAGTCTGAAGTTCAGCACCCAACATTTCCACCTCAGTTTGCGATTATTATTGTTTTAAAGTCCTCCTGAAAATTCACCAGCAATTTTAGTGTGAATTTCTCCTAAACCACAGAGCCTAGGGCTTGCCGATCAAAAGGTCGGCGGTTCGAATCCCTGCGACGGGGTGAGCTCCCATTGTTCGGTCCCTGCTGCTGCCCACCTAGCAGTTCGAAAGCACGTCAAAGTGCAAGTAGATAAATAGGTACCGCTCCGGCGGGAAGGTAAACGGCATTTCCGTGCGCTGCTCTGGTTCACCAGAAGCGGTTTAGTCCTGCTGGCCACATGACCTAGAAACTGTCTGCAGACAAACGCTGGCTCCCTCAGCCAGTAAAGCGAGATGAGCGCCACAACCCCAGAGTCGTCCATGACTGGACCTAATGTTCAGGGGTAAAAGTAAAGGGACCCCTGACCATTAGGTCCAGTCGCGGACGACTCTGGGGTTGCGGCGCTCATCTTGCTTTATTGGCCGAGGGAGCCGGCGTACAGCTTCCGGGTCATGTGGCCAGCATGACTAAGCCGCTCTGGCGAACCAGAGCAGCGCATGGAAATGCCGTTACCTTCTGCCGGAGCGGTACCTATTTATCTACTTGCACTTTGACGTGCTTTCGAACTGCTAGGTTGGCAGGCGCAGGGACCGAGCAATGGGAGCTCACCCCGTCGCGGGGATTCGAACCGCCGACCTTCTGATTGGCAAGTCCTAGGCTCTGTGGTTTAACCCACAGCGCCACCCATGCCCCGTTTCTTGAAAGTAGGGTGGTATAAAAATATTAAGGGACCTGCGTCCCTTAATGTTCAGGGGTACCTTTACCTTTTTACTCCTAATAATAGACATTTTTATATGCAATTTTGCCCAGTAAACACATATTCTTGCATAGTATTTCTCCCAATGCTGAAGCATTCTTGTACCTTAACTCCGCTATGATATACAGTTCTATGCACGCTTTAATGTGGCAGATGAATTTTTGCAAACGGTGGTTGGCTAGAAAGCTTCATTGCAAAATTCGCAGAAGTGTGAATTTCGAAGGACCTTTGCGTTTCAGTTTGCGTACCGTTTCAAAAAGTGAGAATGAGGGAGATTCATATTTGATGTGAACCGAATCGAATCTCTCCCCCTACCCGCCACCAATCCTTAGCCAAGAGATTCCGGTCCTACCTGGTGTTCTCCGATTTCCTGCTCATACACTGGTGCAGGAAGAGATAGTCTTGAGGGGCACTGGTGGAAAGCGTGGTCCGGATATGGTTGGCGGGTGAATCGAAGGTGAAAAGGGTGGGCTGGCTGGAGTGCGAAGGAGCGGATGACTTCCGTTCTCGCAGGAGCCGCTGGCTGGATCCACTCAGCTCAGCCGGGGAGGAACGTGGCCCGTGAATGACAGAAGGAATGTTTCTTAGAGAATCTGCACAGGAAGAATTGAGGGAGATATTGTCACCCTTAAAATAATAACAACAATAACAACAACAACAACAATAATAATTTATACTCTGTCTATCTGGCTGGGTTTCCCCAGCCACTCTGGGTGGATTCCAGCAAAATATTAAAATACAGTGGATGCTCAGGTTGCGAATGTGATCTGTGCAGGAGGCACATTTGCAACCTGCAACGCCGCATCTGAGCACGTGCGAGTTGCGATTCGGCGCTTCTGTGCATGCGCAAAGCGCGATTTAGCGCTTCTGCTCATGCACGACCGCCGAAACCCAGAAGTAACCCGTTCCAGTACTTCCGGGTTTTGGCGGGTCCATAACTTGAAAAAATGCAACCTGAAGCATCTGTAACCCGAGGTATGACTGGACAGTGGTACCTCGGGTTACAGACGCTTCAGGTTACAGACTCTGCTAACCCAGAAATAGTACCTTGGGTTAAGAACTTTGCTTCAGGATGAGAACAGAAATCGCGTGCCAGCAGCGCGGTGGCAACGGGAGGCCGCATTAGCTAAAGTGGTACTTCAGGTTAAGAACAGTTTCAGGTTAAGAATGGACCTCTGGAATGAATTAAGTTCTTAACCCGAGGTACCACTGTACAATAATTCATCAAATATTAAAAGCTTCCCTAAACAGGGCTGCCTTCAGATGTCTTCTGAACATCAGATAGAACTTAACAGAGCTATAATGCCCAACATCCAACAAACAAACAAACAAACAAACAAACAAACAAACCACAGTTCCCATGATTCTTTGGAAGAAGCAATGTGCATTAGATATGAAATCAGGGACAGAGAACGAGTGGTTCTTCAGATGTAGAACAATAGAAGTTGGAAGGGACCCTGAGGATCATCTAGTTCAACCCCCTGCAATGCAGGAATATGCAGCTGTCCCATACGGGGATCGAACCTGCAACCTTGGCGTTATCAGACCATGTTCTAGCCAACTGAGCTATCCAACTGAGTCATGCATCTAGATTCCAGTTCCCACCATCCCTAGCTACCAATGGCCATGTTGGCAAGAGGCTGATGGGGAGCCTAATAACCTAAGGATGACGACAAGCTCCTCATCTCCTCTGCCTAAACAAGGTGATTCATCAGTCTCCTATACATTGTCAAGTGATAAAAATAGGCATGTCTGCAGGTTTTCTTTTAGCCGTACCACAAATTCCGCATTTTAGAAAGAATAAAATAACATCAGTACGTGGTTCTGACTGATTGGTTGGTGCCTGTGTGTACCACCGATCAATATCGAACATTAAATTTAATGGTGTCATTATGATATTAAGGAGAAAAGTTCTTTGCATAGCTCAGTACAAGGATAGATTACACGCACAATGCTCAAATTCCATTCTTTGGGCAGAGGAGAGCTACCTGGCAGCACAGCACGCTATCGGAATTTAAGTCGTCACATTTGCCTAATTTTGCTATTGATATTACCCTGCGAATCATAATCTGAGGTTCTTCTTTGTGGCCCTCCTCCAGGTGAGGTCCGGAGGGTGGCAACACGAGAACAGGGCCTTTTCGGTGGTGGCTTCCCTGTCTGTGGAATGCTCTCCCCAGGAAGGCTCGCCTGGTTCCTCCATTACATACCTTTAAGTTCTATGGCCTTTTAAATGTGCTTTTGGGAGGTAGGGTTATTGGCTTGTCATTGTTATGCATTTTGCGTCCTCATTTTGTATTGTTATGTTGTGAACCGCTCTGAGATCTTTGGATGAAGGGCAGTAATAATCTGAGAGGGTCTGGCTAGGGCTGATGGAAATTGAAGTCCAAAACATTTGGAGAGCACCAGGTTAGTGCCCTTATGATTTAGGCAGTTTTATATTCAATCCCAGGGACACGGGTGGCGCTGTGGGTTAAACCACAGAGCCTAGGACTTGCCAATCAGAAGGTTGGCGGTTCGAATCCCTGCGACGGGGTGAGCTCCCATTGCTCGGTCCCTGCTCCTGCCAACCTAGCAGTTCGACAGCACGTCAAAGTGCAAGTAGATAAATAGGTACCGCTCCGGCGGGAAGGTAAACGCCGTTTCCGTGTGCTGCTCTGGTTCTCCTGAAGCGGCTTAGTCATGCTGGCCACATGACCCAGAAGCTGTACGCCGGCTCCCTCGGCCAATAAAGCGAGATGAGCGCCGCAACCCCAGAGTCATCCGCAACTGGACCTAATGGTCAGGGATCCCTTTAGCTTTACCTTTTATATTCAATCCCTCGTGGTGCACCCTCCATTTTCACAGGTGCTGCACACGAGGTTCAGAAAGGGAAGAGAAATGTGGAAGGAGGCAGGAGGAAGGGAATTAACCAAATCAGCTCCTGGATGAATAAACCCGTCCGGTTTTTGGGGTTTTGCTTCTTGGTCACAGAAGGAAGTGACAGAATGCCAAGAGCTGGCTTTTAAATGTATGGCTGCCAAACTAGTTTTTTTCATTCAACTGGTCTGGGGAGGGGGGAACCCTGAAATATACAAATAAAAAGAGGTACACACCAGGGACGTCGCCAAATGGGGGGGGCAGGGGCTGATGCCCCCCCTAAATCAAGTAAATAAACAAAAATACTTAACTGACTAATCATGTTGCAGATAGCCCGGTTCTGCCCCCCAATAAAGCCTGCGCCGCCATCGCCACCATAAAGCCTGGCTCCGTCCATGAAACACACATAACTTTTGGACATACCCTAAAATACAGACCTTTCGGATCGAAGAAATAATAGTAGCTGGAAGAATGATAGGATATATAGTCCCCGTGAACCCGCTGGTAATTTGGTTTGGGTATGCCTCGATAGACGACAGCGGAACGACCTTAAATATTATTTTTCTTTCCTTTGTTAAGGAAATTGGAAATCACAAAAAAGAGGAATGCTTTGATCCGGTTTTACCAAAATTATGCCAATACATCAGTCTCCCACCCCCACAGTATTTAACGAGCGCGTGGCACCCTACGCATTAATTTTTATTGTTAATGGGGAACTACTTTTATGCTCCAAGTTATCAGTGAACTGGTGATCATTTACTGCTTAAAAACGTTAACCAAAAATAGATAAAAAGATGCATGCTGTTTAAACAAGCTAAGTGGGAGGGGGAACAGAGAGAAATATATTTTTTGGGGGGGTTGCTGGAGAGGAAGACGAATGAATCGGGGCGAAGGTTCATTGCAGGGGCTCTAATGCAGTTTTTTTTTTTAAAGCGCAGAAATACCGTATTTTTTGCTGTATAAGACTCACTTTTTTCCTTCTAAAAAGTAAGGGGAAATGTGTGTGCGTCTTATGGAGCGAATGCAGGCTGCGCAGCTATCCCAGAAGCCAGAACAGCAAGAGGGATTGCTGCTTTCACTGCGCAGCGATCCCTCTTGCTGTTCTGGCTTCTGAGATTCAGAATATTTTTTTTCTGGTTTTCCTCCTCCAAAAACTAGGTGCGTCTTGTGGTCTGGTGCGTCTTATAGAGGGAAAAATACGGTTGGTCCATTACTCAACAGCCGCACGCTATTCTAGAGACATGAGCGGGCATCACTCAAAACAGACCCACACTCCATAATCTCTAGTAAAAGCAGGCTTCTCACCCCAAGGGAGCCCATTTCATTGACACTGGCATTGATTTTCAAAAATGTATCCTCGCTTTTCTCCCCACAGTGACCCGGCCACTAAGTGCTATTAGCGATTGCAGCGGGTTCAGAACTCACTCACCACCGTTTCGGGAGACGAAAGCCCATCAATAGAGGCAAGGGGAAGGGGCAAGGAAGCTGCAAGCTGCTTGCATTTGAACTTGCTGTGGCGCAGAGAGAAGCAAAAGGAGGGGAAATAAGTCAGGAGATGGAACGTTTGTCCTCTGGGGCGGAAAATTCAGCGGATGTGCTTTACTTTTGGTCGCTGTTGGAGAGCGAGAAGGATCTGGGGCTCGTGGGGAATACTTGCAAACAGGTGAAATGTTTTGTTTGCTTGTTTATTATTTTAATACAGTGATACCTCGGGTTAAGTACTTAATTCGTTCCATTGGGGGTTCTCAATGAGTATTTCCCCCCTGTGCAGGCCTGGATTAAGAAAGACCAACT